ACTGTTAGATATGTTTACACAATATCTTCTAGAAATATTCAAACGAACGATAATTTTCTTTTTTTATAGTTAATCATTTTAGAAAAAAAAAAAAGGTCTTGACTATATTATAATAAAATGTTTCTATTAGAAAAGTAAATATCTTTAGTTGTTTTTCTAAGAGGAATTTATTTAATTTCTATTCAATTATAGAATAGAATTATAACTGAATAAAAAAAATATATATTTTTATGATAAATAAATCTCGTCGACTATAAATTATTATTTGACATGTTTAGAAATTGATTTATTGTTTATTCTCTTCGATTATATATAATGATAACGATTTATCTATTATAAAACAAATCTAATTATTCTAGTTGACTATATAACATTTATTTATATAGAATTATATATATGATATTACAATAATAAGAAAGAAGATAAAATCAATGAAGTACATCATAATGATGAAGACATTGAAAATAAAGAATATCGATCACTTGTTGATATTTATTTTTCAATAATTGAAACTAAATCAAAAAGAGAAATATTTAATTTGTTCGAATGCATTAATAAATACGTCTCATTTTTTAGTCGTTATATGTTTTAATACCCTCAAAATTTAAAGTCAAAAAATGTCATTAAATTAATAAAACAATTTTTTAATATTTTATCATTCAAAATAACACTAATCTTTCTAAAACTCCTTGACATTTATATTTATTATTAAGAATAATTTCTTTATAGAGTGAAATATTATTCAAAACATAAATAATACATTCATATTCTTCACTTTTTAAATATGATAATGATAATCATTATCAACATACTTTGGCTGATTGAATATTAAGAAATATCGTGTATAAAAAAATTGTTTTCGTATTTTTTAATTCATGAATTGCTAAACTTATATTTTGATTTTGAATATAATATAAAAGTAGAAAGAGTATTATTCCACAAAAAGTACTCAGTTATTTTCTTCAAACAATAAGAAATGATTACAATAGACTTTCATTTGATCATCGTCTATTCGATGCGAAAAAAAAGTCATTGATATATCTTATAAAAAATCATGCTTAAACAGAGAATTTCCCTTTATATTGTTCGTCGAATAATTATGAATGATTTTTTGAACATGAACATATATGGTGCCGTCATAGATGTCAAACAAGCTGACAAAAAAAGAATGATAACGAAATAAGCAATGTCATTGGTCAATTCTGACTTTTTCATTAGTTCAATTTGAATTCGTCTAATTTTTTCAGCTTATTCAAGGTCATTCGTATATCTATCATAATAAACATGTATGTAAACAGAATAGATTCAATAAAATAACGATGAGTAAAAGTACATTGGAATCATTACCAAATGAACTTTTGCTTATTATATTTTCTTATTTATCTTCATTTGATCTTTGTCAAGCTTTTCTTTACTTAAACAATGCTCGTATTCAACATCTTCTTACTTCGATTCGTCATTCATTTAATGTTAATTTAATGCATTATGATAAACTACATCTATGGCTCAATAGTAATCAGAATCATAGAAATCGTTTTACTAATTTGATAGATACTTTTGTATTTAATGATTCATATGCTTCCCGAACGTTACTTGAATATTGGAAAAAGACTTTCAATGAAACTGATCAATCCAATGTGCTCTTCTCATCGATAAAACGCCTTGTTATGTTACAGGCAGAATGCTGTTCATATATTCTTATTCAAGCAATATTAATACCTTTGGTTTTTGCTAATAATACATTACAATATTTACATCTCATCTTCAAAGAACCTGCATCCAATTATCCAAGGATACTTTCAAAACTTATTGTTCATCGTATTTAAGTTCATACTATGATATTAGAAGTTGAACAAGGTATGTTATTAAAAATATTATCGAAGTAAATAGCTTGAATGATCAAGAGTATTATTATAGATAGAATCATCGTGTAGGATAAAATTGTCGCATTGAGAGATTTCAAATAATCTTTGGATTTGAGTTGTACCGATGTGCAAAAAACGCTTGAGATTGAAACAGCACTTTTAATACGAATATTCCGCAATTCGATTATTTTATGGAATATCTAATTGACTAATTTGATGTTTATCTTGTTGTGATCAGAGCTGAGCACAGGGCAGGACGTGTGGCTCGTCCTGCTGTCCTGTCCGCTCTGCAGGACGAGTAGGTCGAAGCGGCAGGCAAGACAGGATGAAAAAGTTTGTCCTGTGCTCACCTCTGGTTCTAACATATTAATTATTATGTATTATATACAAGTGTCTTATTATTAAAAAGGAATCTTGTTTAAAGTTTAGTAATGTGAGTGCGAAATTCCGTTATTCAGTAAAATTTCAGTCTGTTGGAGGAATGTTAGTGGAAGTGAGTTTTCGAATGGTGAACACTTTCTTTTGACTGCGCTTGTATAAAATACCTCTATTGAACGATACTTTTAATATGATACAATATGTCGTTATGATTCTCATTCGATATTCATGATAGTAATTGTATCATTAATTTTAGAGGAACAGTTCACAAACAAAATAACAGGTTCAACTTAGCATAAGAAAAAAATCAAACCCCCAATGGATTTGTATTATTTCGATACTATTGCAAAGAAAAGAAAGCATCATATAGAAACTAGAAAATTGAATATACGAGAATAAAATTATCAGAATAGAAAACAATTGAATAGTTCTAATTTGCTGAGATAAAACGTAGATCTGAGAAATACAATTTCATATAAGTTATGTCCTTCATCTATTTCATTGTAGAGATTTTTCTTATTCTATCTCAAGTTGGAAAACTTTTGGAATAAAAGTACTGATGACAGTGTCAATAGACAAAGAAAATGAAAATACAAATAGCAATATATCGAATATATAAAGGTATTTACTTTCTCGATCAATTTTTCTTCAGTGGAGAAACATAACATTCCTTCAATGGTCAGTTATAAAAATGTTCATTATAAAAAAGACCAATTTTGTTTTTCTTATATTAAAAAAAATTTCGTTTAACTTTTCTAAAACAGAAAGTAATTGACGTGAAAGAATCTTTTTTCTACTTGGCTGTTATTTTTACTAATTTTATCCATAGGTCACAGTTATCGGCTGAATGAGGTAGAAGATTTACACAACATGCAACCACTATCTTGGTCAAATACAGTTCAATTAACATTAAGTATTCAACATTCCAGCGAATTAAGGCTTTTATTTGAACACAATGCTCTACCTGCAATTGAATATTTGAATATTACTATTGAGAATCTGGATACTAATTTACCTTCCAATGTAAATATATCAGTGCCAAATGTTCAAATTACGAAAGATTCTCTACGAGAAACGGCTACTGGTGGTACTCATCTGAAACACTTACTCTTACGCTATATAACTCTGAATGATGTTATCATATTGATTGGTTCGATAGCCATGCCTTTACTTGAAGAATTGATACTTATTGATATGTATGATGATAGTAAGTTATTTCTTCATCTATTATTTTGACATAATCAATTGTAATGAATCAGTTTCATTCATAGTATATATGTCGTGCTGAAGTTATTCCGCCCGTCGAAGTTACAACTTCAGCAAAGGGTGTAACTTCGGAACGACATATACATACCGCAACGCTTTTTCAACTGGAATCTCTGGTATTGATAAGGATATATATTTGTATTAGCGAATTTTTGACTGGATGGTAGATGTTGATTTAAAGGTGAATTGCGGAAATATTTGCCTTCAAAAATCGAGTATATGCGAACAATTAATATTTTAAGAATAGAAAAGTTCATTTTTCTTTCAAACTTTCGCAGTATATTCTATAAACTAATAGATTTCACCCGCACATAATTTTAGATTTCAAATTTCGACTTTCATCTTGTTGGTGCCCAGTCACAGTTGAGTCAAATATATCTCAATGCACTTCTAACTATTGATCGATATATCAGACATCTAAATTTTCTTTTGTGTCATCGTCAAAATTCATCAAGAATTACAAGACGTCTTGGCGTCTAAAAGTGTTCGCTTATAAATCATTGAATGAACTTAAGACAAGCAAGATTTTCATAAGAAATTGTCAGCACAAATATTTTAGCGATACTATTTGAGATAGAGCTCTAATACTGCAAGGATTGAATTGTCTTCTTTTAGATAAAAGACAATTTCTTATCGTTTGCTATGAGAGAAAAAGTTTTGCTTCATTTGATCAACCACATTGTTCAAATAATGAGAATCTTCAAACTTTGTAAATCAGAAGTATGATCTTTTACAAATCTGAAAGTTTATGTAATGAAGAAAAGTTTCTCAGTTGTCTGGGATGAAATACATTTAGAGAAACACTATCCTACGTCCAATGACCAAATCAAAAATAGGTCTAAAAGAAAACTTCAAAATATGTTTCTCTGGATTTTATCGTGTATTGTGAAAAACGAGGATGAAATATTTAACCATATGATATAATAACTAGTAGATAAAAGAAAGCGTTGAGGAATCTAACTATATGATAATGAATGAAATAATTGACAGGTGTTTAATTAAATTCACTTGAAAATATAAGCGTTTCATTCTGAGAATCTTTCCAAGTTGAAACTGATTTTGCAATCTTATATAAAAAAAAAGCGTTCTTTTTCTGTGGAAAATCTCCTTTTCGACAAGGGGAACATGAAGTGATAGTTTGGAAGTGTTTTGCTTAAAACCGTTGTATTAAACATTCTTTGTTTTTTAACTTTAATTATTTGGCGTTCAACACTCTAGGGAAAGATGTTCTTTTGTCGTTAAGGAATTCAATATGTTGTCTTTATTTTCATTGTTGATGTAACCAAGTGAAGTCGAATGTCTATGCTTTTGAATAGATATTTAGACGAAAAGATTCATTTCATTGCTTTTTCTTGTAGCTTTAGACCGTCTTGGTCAATTTCAAGAACTTTGTAGTTCTACATATTTACCTGCTTTGAAAACTCTTCATTTCTCATTATGTTTTCCTCAAGAAATCGAACATGCATGGAGAATGAGTTCATTCAATTGCAATGATCAATGGCCTTTTGATAATATTAATTGTTATATGGATGAGTATTATATGGATGATCCAGATGAAATAGATTTTATTCTAAAGATCCTATTTGTTATCTACAATTGTCCAATTAATCTACTCTATCGCCACAAACGAACTTTCCACAATTATGGTTTCGCAACACATGTATCTGCTCCAATTTGTACAATTCGACGACGATTAATTCAATGGGTGTGCGATCAAAAATATGAGACTGAGCAATTTAACAAAACTCTACAAATAATTGCAAGTGGTCATGTTAATGAACTTCATTTAACATATTTAAATGAACGAGTAAGTCAAAAAAGGATAAATTGAATGAAACTACTTAGTCTCGAGTTTGAATTGTAGTACTTTATAGAATATTTACGAATAAGTTTTTTTCTCGAAACTTAAGGAAATAATGAAACAAGTTTTGTGTCGATATCAAATATTTACTTATTGATTTAGTATAGAAATACATATACAAAGTTCGAGACAAATCAGAATAGATTATTATAAAAAAATAAATCTCGTATTGGAATGTTGTTAATTCGTAAATTAGATGTTTATTTTATGTGATAGAATAAACAAATTGATAACATAAAGAAGATCACAATAATATAAAAACTATGAACCTTTTCTTTTTTCGATTTTTTTCTTTTCTTAATAACTGTTGTCAAATTCAATCTTAATCAAAAATGGTGATTTAATTCGAATTTATGAATATGTTAGAGATTTTAATGTAAAATCTAACTGACTGACAGTGGTATTTAGTTCACTTTATTTTTGACAAGTTCTGCACCGATTGAATTTAATGTTTGAAGATTTTGTTCTTTTTAGAATCTAGTATGTAAATTCATTCATTTGAAAATTTTTCAATTATACTTTATAGGCGTCTAGGTGTTATACAAGAAAGTTCATGACATAAATCTTACTTTGATTTTCTTTTACCATTAGAGCCTATTGTAACACGATTTCGACTGATATATACGTTTCCCATCGTCAAGAGGGTAAACCATTGTTCGAATCAGAGAACGTCACAGGACGGTTTTTTGCGTCCTACCTTGCATAATAAGGGTCAATATCACACCATTGTTCTGCCCTGCAGGACGCTAAAAAGCTTGTCCTGGCAGGACACTTCTGCAGGGCAAAAAGTCGTCCTGCGTCCTGCCTGCAGAACGACTTTTTTAGTGAACTATTGAGAGAGATAGAAAGTCATCTAAATATGAGATATGATCTTAATTACTACATAAGTACTAGTTTTACAAAAATCATGTATAGTAATCAGGTTAATTACACCTACGACAAGCTTTGTGGTAGAAGCGAAATTAAAAAAAGAACTGACATTCATATAAGTGTAAAAAGACAATCAGAGAATAAGTATAAGCATTAGGAATTCACAAGCTAATTGATACTGAAGATGAAGCACAAGATAAAATATCATCCAAGTGCGGTTTGTATAAAAAAAAACATGAACAAGAATTTTGTCAATATGCCCTCTCACACATTTTGCACTAGAAATGGAATGAGCATAAAAGAAATCTGACATTCATGACATGTACAAAAGAAAAGCAGAAGACTAAGCAAGATGCATGGTTCACATTGCGATCAAATTTAACAGATAAAACAAGAGAAAATCAACTTTTTTACTTTTTTCCTTGAATTTCCTTTATTGTGACCAATGTCGACCAATCAAAAGAGGCAGGGTAAAGAAAGTCTCAGTGATAGACTCCGCTGACATTGTGAAAGCTGCTTCCACTATTAACAACAATACATGTCAGCGAAAGTAGCAGAATTTACATCTCCGAGGTGTTCATTCTATATAGTTTCTATGGTATAAATGCCCTTTACTCCACAACTAATGAGTAAACGTTGTATTGAGCTCTCTATTAATTACAAAATCCTGTTTAGTGCATTTATTTCCGTACGATGTTTGACGATTCCGCCCTGCAGGACCCATTTTCTACCCTGCACAGCCTGCATCTAAAAATCGAATCGCCCTGCTTCTGCATTATCTCGAAATATGCAGGACAATGTCGAATTTAGCAGATGCAGGTCCTGCAGAACGCAGGACCTGTGACGTTCTCTGGTTCGAATGTCGAAAATGAATCAGCTTATATCTCAAATATAAAAGACAAAATTTCTAATTTAAAACATTTATGATATTAAATGTAAATTTAATTTATTCCGTGCATCACTCTACACTTTTTGTCATGTTTCTGTAACGATTCGATTGTATGAAATTTAAGTTTTCAAAAGATCAGTATTCTTATGATACGAATAACAGCTGTTAAATGCTGTAGACATTATTATTACATATTTGTACCTTTTAGACAAATACATCAATGATGTCAAAGTGTGATTCACATTGGAACTTATCGCTCAATCATATACGATCTATTACATTCAACATCCAATCAAATTCAATTAAGAAATGCGAACGCATCGCCATGGTCAAGCGAATCCTTGATGTATCACCAAATATTTCGTCTCTTGTAATAGCTTGGAGAGATTTTCGTCACTGTTCACGAAAATACTTAAATCTAAAACATGTGCATCTCTTATTAAATGGATTTCATGAGAATCCTAAACATTATTTTGACATTCATCGATTAAATGAAATAGTACCTCATCTATATTTACTTGAAACAAGTGATGCAGTTATGAAGCAAAATGAAAATCTTGTTGAATTTATTTTGAACATTAGTCATCAATTTGATCAATTGGTACACTTAATATTAAACAAAAATTCTCGTTATCGATCTAAAAACGAACAGAAGATCATGTTCAGAGACAAATTAATTGCAGCTACTCATGATCAAATATTTCATGGTAATAATATTCATTTTCAATTTCATATAAATGATGAACTACGTATTTGGTTCTAATATTATTAAAAAGTTGCGATTTTCAATCCAATTTTCTAACTAGAATTCAAATAAAATATTTAAAAAGAAACAACATTTGTCCAACTTTCTTTTTCTATTTCTAAAGTGCATTGAATCTATTGTTACTGTATCATTAGTTAACTAAATTTCGTCATTTTTACAAATCAAAGTATTTGAATAATGCCAGTTGGTTGAATCATTGCGAGCAATAGAGAGAAAATCACAAAAATGAAAGTACTTCGACAACTTGAACAGATCTATGAATTGTTTCATGATATATTTTATCTTCCTATATAATTCGATTGCAAACTGCTAATCCATTCATTTGCTTATTGTTTAGTAGGATAACAGTGAAAATGCTTCTTTTACTATCACACCTTCAATCATCCTCAATTAATAAAGAATTAATTTTGTATAGTAAAATCTTAGTTTTCTCTTCCGAATTTTATTTAAATATTAAGGGAAAGTATTGATAACAAAGTTCACGGAAGAAATGTTTATTTGAAACAGAAAATAACTTAAAAATTTCATTTAGAACGTTGATGAATATGTAAACCTTCATGTTTATTTAATAAAAGTATCAAAAGAGATAAAAAAAAAGAATCTTTTCAATAAATTATATTCTTTTGAAATATTTTCTTCTTCCGATATGTTTGAAATAATTATGTTCTTATTCAAAAATGTCAATAATTCAGATTCAACTATTAAATATTAAATCTTTTTTTATTTATAAAGAGATCGAACAAATAAATTTGAATAGTTTTTCGTTTTTTATTAGTTAAATTTGATAAATTTGAAATATTTAACTCATCAGTTGTTTAAATAAATGTAAACCTGATCATCTTTGTTTAAATTCTCCAGAAATCTTTTTAAAGATTCATTAACAAAAGCCGATCAATTGATATTGAATTGATTTCAAGTACATTGAAGAGAAATTCAGTGACTAGACTAATCAGCATCTTTTGATCGAATATCAGATGATTATCATGAAGAACTTTAGATCGATCCAAACCATCAGTTTCCAGTATATCTCATTTTTCTACAAAGATATGTTATACTAAATAATGAAAACACAAAACTGACGAAATTTAAAATAAACTATCTTATCAACATAGTATTACAGCATACAACGTATCTTTCTTCGCTATGTTTCATGCGATTTGCAATGTAAATAAATTATTTGTACAGATTATTTTTAAATTAAAAAGTTATCTAATTTACGCGTATGTTTAGAAAATGAGTCTTATTTCAACATGTAAAATCTATGAGTGGTAAGATTCTGTAAATAATTAATTAGATATTCGTAAAATATACATTTTCTGACAATAAATATTAGTTTTTCTTAAGCACAAACGTCATTTGAACGAATAAAATTCTATATAAAATCTTTTGTTATTTTAATTTTGGTAAAAAAAATTGTTGAAAGTATTATTTTCATCCTTCGATTTCATATATTTAATTGTCAGATAATATCGACCGTATTCATCTTAGAATATTTCTCTACACGTTCTTTGTCAAAGTCAAATCGTTTTACTTGTGGAGAAAAGATTGTTGTCACACCAGTGATTACGTTCGTGTATATATGTACATGCGCGTACACTTATAATTCTTTTTCTCTTTTCTATCGCCACAAATATAGAGCTTTTATCAAAGGATATAAACAAAAAAGGAAATATGTCAGCTAATTCAATAAATGATATTGAAATGGATCATTTTGGTTCAGGAATTGATTATTTAGCAACAACAGGTCTTGGTCCATGCATTGGCTTCGTTGTTCTATTAGATAATAATCAACATATATTTATTGAACATCGAAGTTCTGTATACCTTCCACCCTCAATCAATTTGACAACTGTTCGTTTATGTTTTCAAAATGTTGCTAAACATGTCTCTGACTTATTACCAACATCAAGCATAACGTAAGTTTATTAAATATAATATTTACAAAAATAAATGAAATGAATAATTTATTGATTAAAAAAAGATGTTTCTTTTCTTTTCTCTGATCTATCTGAAGAAAATAATCAATATTAGAATGACATAAAATGATGCCTTACGACACATGTAAATAGTAGAGGTTTTAATTGATCTTCGGATGTTCATGCAAATAAAGCATGAAATATTTCTTTCAAAAATAAACGTGAAAAGACTTTACTAACAGAAGTGCGAAGAGACAAACATAGCCAGTTTTTAGACAATTAAAAGTAGCCTTTTGTCAGTCAAAATACAGTGGATATGAATTGATACGATAATGTGAATATACTAAACGTATTGATAGAATTTAGAATTATTTTATCTCATATTTCCTTCATTAATTGAATATTTCTATTTAAAAAAGCATTTTATTTTTATTTATATTCATCTTTCTCTTTATTTAAAAAACAAAAAATTAATCTATTTATTTAAATTGTATCCTTCAAGTACTTTTACCTTTATTTCAAACGCAAATTTTCTTTTTCTTGCAAATTGTACAGAATACAAAATAAGTCATATCAACTGATTCGAAATTTTTAATCTCATGTGAGTTGATAAAAATTTTATCATGAAATTTCACGAATATGCTTATTCAAATTCTCCGCAAAAATTCAGAAAAAAAGATTCTCTAACAAGAACCACAGCAACATCTTTTTTTTTCTCTCTCTCTCTCTCTTTCTGTCTTTTCAATGCACATACATCCGTACATATATATATGTACGGATGTATGTGCATTGAAAAGACAGAAAGAGAGAGAGAGAGAAAAAAAAAGATGTTGCTGTGGTTCTTGTTAGAGAAACTTTTTTTCTGAATTTTTGCGGAGAATTTGAATAAGCATATTCGTGAAATTTCATGATAAAATTTTTATCAACTCACATGAGATTAAAAATTTCGAATCAGTTGATATGACTTATTTTGTATTCTGTACAATTTGCAAGAAAAAGAAAATTTGNAACCGTATCCCTTGGCATAGCCACCCACTTTACGACATTGGAGTCCTGTCCGAGTGCATAAGTCTGCATATAAGGTTGAATAGCCTTCACATACTGCTTTTCGACTAAGAAATACATTTGTGGACGCTTGAGAACCAATGTTATTGTCAAAGTAAGCTTTTGTATCGTATCGAATATTCTGAGAGATCCAATAGAAAATAATCCATGCTTTGTCAATTTCATTTTTGTTCACAGAAAGAATTTTAATAAAGTCGATCAGCTGTTCGAATGATTCTGGTTGCCATTGATCAATAGCTTGTCGATAGGACATCTTGCTGATAGCAGTCTGTCGCTGTTGACATATAGTTGGTGTGAACGCTTCTTTGTCGACTGGAGTAAGATCAATATCAGGAGGTGCCACTTTCAGTTGCATGTACTCTTCACCTACTTTGTCTGAGCATTTAGATTTGGACTCATCACGTATCATATGTCCCTTAGTTAGTTCTGCTGATTGATCAGGTCTGATGTCATCCAGTGGAAAAAGCTCTTCATCTACTTTGTTTGATCGTTCGGATTGCAAGTCACCAAGTTCGTCCGATTGCTCAGATCGAGCCTCATTTAATATCGTATGTTCTTTTGTTATATCGACCGACCGATCACGTCTGATATCATCTAGTGGAAAACGCTCCTCATCTGCTATGTGTGAGCGTTCAGATCCAGACTCATCGAGTGACATGCACTCTTCAATTGCTCTGTTTGAATGCTTCGATACAAACTTTTCAATGATGCCATCTTCTGTCTTGTTAACTTGAGATGCGTCTGCGGTAGTAATAATACTCTTGGGCACTAGAAACTCAACTTCATTCGATTGTCTTACATCTCTCGAAGTGACTGCATGAATTTTTGCTTGCTTGCAACCCATGGCGATATCTTTCTTGATTCTTGTAAGCAAATTTTTGTCGCACTAAAACGAGAGTGTTATGTTTTCTTCCTTTTCCTGACTCCTTTTTAACCGTCTCTTTTTCTTATTTGCACTCTTCCTTTCAGCTTGTATACCCACCATATAAATCAGAAGACCTTCATAAAAACTTCGATAAGATAAAGCGCTTTTCTTAATAAACGTCTAAAAACATACGCAAACATGATCTTGATTGCTCTTTTGGACTCTTAAGAAAAGAAACCTTTGTTTTTCTTAGAGTGACTCATAAATTATTTTTTGCTGAAAAGTGATCAAAAACTATATTTGCGTGATTATCAAGCTGCATGACACTACATCAAATGATAGTTTATTCGAATAGACTCGATTGAGAGTGGCCTTCGTATTTAAGCGAAAATTTCGATAGATAATGTTGCTGTCATGTTTAGAAAAGTGACACTTGGGATTTGTCTCGAGTGAAAGCATCTCGCTGATCTTCAGTTAATGAGGGTGAGAGTGTGGACATAGGTAAAGAGAAAACTAACATTAATACCCATACACTCACCTATACCTACACCCACTCGATATCTTCTGCTCTCAGATTCATATCCATCAAGGAATTTGTGAACATAAACGTTTGGGAATGAAAACTATTGTACAAAAAACACCACTTTGGCTTTTATGAATAGCGGAACTGTGACAGAACTAAAGTTCGATTCTCGTTTCTCTCAAGAGATTATCATAGCTCCGCTGGCGGTTCCTCTACAACTTACGAATTCATATTTCTCAGTTCTTGGGCATTGCTGAAAATTCAGAATATTGCATTGATCCACAAGCAAACGCAACTTTACACTCTTATTTTCTTGATCAGAAACAGTCTATTATTGAAGATGAGCGAAAGATCTCTCTTCTGTAATTGCTCTTCATACCTTCATCCAGTTCAGACAATAAGAGAAGCAATCCGTGAGTTGTTTCATTCATGCCAATTTTTATCAGTTCATTTTATATATGGTGAATATGAAAAGCCAACTTGTGCCACTAAGCACTGTTACTATGATGGTCCTATTCAAAGAGTGAAGCCTCTAGAAACAGAGGATGAGTTTGATCCATTATGATGTATATGATTATAAAAATTACTATTGGCAACACGAACACGAAAATGTCACTCTGAAAATGAG